AAAAATAAAAAATAGAAAAGGTGTCACGCCCCTGGACTGACTGTGTGTGTTTTTGTTCCCCATGTGCTCCGTGACCTAGTTTTCCCTTGTGTTTGATTGTGTTCATTGATCCCAGGTGTGACTCGTTTATTCCCTCGTTGAGTTGTGTATTTATAGTGTAGTCTGCCCTATGTTTCCTTGTCGAGTCTTAAACGTCAACTCCATGTGTTTCGTGTGTGTTCCTGCCTGTCCTGTGTTCCCCGTGGTTTGGATTAAATAAACTGTTATTGTAATTCTCCTATGTTCTCCTCATTCCTTGCTCCAATGCAGTAGCAACCCTGACAGAAGACAGGACCCATCAGTAAGCGGTGCCGTCGTCCGAAGATGGTCCTCGAGCGGGTGTGGAGTGGATACTGGCGAGAAACGGATCCCCGTTCACTGTCTGTTCGGAGGAGGATCTCGCCAGTTCCACTCCGGACCCAGAGCCCAGCCCACCATCATCCCACTGTGTGGAGCTCAAGCCCGAGCCCACCATTGACGGAGAGCCCGAAACCACCGCGACCGACGAATCATCGCCACAAGGGTGACAGAGCTGAGGATTGCCGCGGAGCCGGAGCTGTTTGAGCCGTCAGACCAGGTGCGAGAGCCGGCTAACACGCCCGCCATGAGGGAGAAAGCCATGGCCAGTGAGATCGCGGAGGGGAGGTCCGCCCACTGCAATATAGCTGAGGGTGAGCTATTTAAGGATCTGGGTGAATGGAAAACGGAGGGAGACCTTATAGACTTGTGGACTGACCTGCCCTCTCTCCTCCCTCCTTTGTCAGAGCCCTCTGACACTCCTGTTCCCAAGTCCAGCCCAGAGAGCCCAGAGGCTCACAAATGTCCACCCGCCCATTCCTGCCTCCTCCCCCGCTGTCGTCTCGCAGCCCCTCTGCTCACCATCAGCCTACCATCTGTGCGGTGGGATCACCGCGGGTCTGCCAGTCTCCATCAGCGTCGTGGCTGGAGGATCCGATGTTTCCCCCTCCAGCCTCAGAGTCCAGGACTCTGCCTCGGTCCGTTGACCCAGCAGCTCCACCATGGCTCCAAGCTCCCTCCTCTCCGCTGTGGCCCAGCAGTCCACTGGCTCCACCGGGCTCCCTCGTCCCGCCGGCTCCGCCTTCGGTCTGTCGTCGACCTTCCTTCGACCTTCCGTCGCCTCGGGACTCCACTCTTCCGGCTGCACCTCATCCCTCCGGCTCCGTCAGGCTCCTCCTTCCCTTCGGCTGCTTCTTGGTCCTCTGTCGCTCCAGCTCCACCACAGCCTTCCGGAGCCCCGCCTCCGCATCGGTCGCCTGAGCCACCTGTTCCACCATGGTCCTCCGGATCCTCCTCGTCACCCTGGCTCATTGGCTCTCCGTCTCCACCTCAGGCTCCTCCGCCACCTGCTCCGCCGCCATTGGTCGGCCCCCTGGAGTCGTCAGCCCTTCCTCC